CGGTCATACGCTTTCTCTAGGTCCACAAAACATGTACACCGGCTGGGCGTACTCCCACGATTTCTCAACAGTCTGGCGCATGGCAAATATATGGTAAGAGGTGCTTCGAACAGACCGGAAGCCACACTGCACTTCTTGGATCTTGAGGTCAACCATTTCACGGCACCTCCTTTCTAACACGTTTGCGTAGACTTTACCTGGGAGGCTCAATAACGTTATACCCCTATAATTGGAACGTTCCTTGTAGTCTCCCTTCTTGAATAAGTGTATAATAATTCCCGTTGTCGAGTCTGATGGTGTCCGTCTCAGCTAGCACATGCCTTGTTCGCCTAATGCCTTGAGCGTTTCAGGGCGGATCTCATCAATTCTAGCAGCTTCAACATTTTTCAAGCTTTTCACAGATTTCGTAAGTTCGTCTACAGAGATAGTAATATCCTTAACCTTCTGCTCTACAGACGAGTCTTCCAGCGGTTGCGCGGGGCTAAGAAGTTCCTGAAAGTGCTAACTCCGTCGCCGAAGAATGTCATCATCCTTGGTAAGAGGGTGTCCTGACTTGTCCTTCAAGTCTCTAAGACTGCCCTACTTTTCACCTCATAGCCGGCGGAAGGTTTGCCAGAATACTTTGTTTGCTGTGCGGAAATTCGACTCCAACACCTCACTGAACTTCTCTCAGCGATCAGCTTGGGCTTTTGCCACTACTTTGGTTTCCGCCTTGCGTGGCTCGACATATCGCACGCGACTAGAAGGCTCTTTGTTTCAAAGCCACTTTTTGAATGCTGCTTTCTTCTCTTTAACTGCCAGTTGTATCTCTCGTGTCCACCATGAAGATCTTTTCTGACCTGCAGGCGGCAGACGAAAACGTTTAAATCCGCAGCATTCGCGGCGGCCTCGAGTAGGCCGTTCTTAAAGAGTTGTCACTCGGTTTCCACATCACTGGTCATCATCGGGATCTGTTCACACCGTCTTGCGATGTTGTTTGCAAATTTCGCTCTCGTATCCACCGAAGATAAAATCTGTTTCCGATTTGATTCTCTGATTGCTTCTGCCACCAGATATTCGTATGGTACTCTATTTCTTACAGCGTAGCGTGCCAACAACAAGGTGGTGATCGGTTGATAGCTCTGCGCCTCTTTTAACACGAACATCCATTACCGAGCGTCTTAGGTGAGACGATACGATTATCAAATGGATCATCGACTTCTGTGCACAAGCTTGCCGTTACCAGGTGCACTGATGCAGTTTTCGATGCTCGAAGAAGGTGTTCATAATGGACAATCCGTTGTTTGCACAAAACCGCAGCAACTTCATGCCGTTACTGTTGAGGTCGCTGAGGTCGTTTTTTCCAATGGCGCTGTTCCACTTTTCAGCGTCTACTCCGACGTGCGCATTAAAATCGCCCATCAGTATGAGGTACTCTGTATTCGGCACTTGAGACAGAGCGCACTGCACTTCCTGAAGGAAGGTGTCATGTTCTCCCTCTAAATTGGGCGCATAGACCTATACCAAGGTCATCGATTTAGCCTGTTGTAGCTTCAGTCGGAGGATTGCCATCCTTTCGCTGATAGGCTTCCAATCGATTATTCTATCGGCGAGGTTGGGTTCTACCAGAACGGCAACACCGGCCTGACCGCGAGTCGTGATATCGACGCCTGAGTAGAACAGTTTCCATTCATTGAGGTTGACGGGTCCAGAGCCTGGACGTTTC